TTGATACTTTTCTTTTACTTGATTTTTCAATAACCCAAAAAACAAGGTGTTTTGATTTAGAAAAAAAAGAGAGACAAATTTAAAGATAGTACCTCCACATGTTGGTCAGATAATTTAATTTCCACATCATGTTGCTGAAGCCAGCCGGGAAGCCAAGCAGCCTCCTACATCAATCAATTGTTCAAGTCAATTAATCCCCCTTTTCACTTTATTTCGATTTCTTTTCAAATTATTGAGCTTGCGAGTGGTGATTGAAACTGAAACTTCGCATAGATTCTGATTTTGGTATAGGCATAGCTTATTGAATTTTCAGTATGCATAAAACTTCAAAAAATCGCGAAAAAAAAAAAAGAAAGAAAAAATAGTGATGGATTGGAAGGCATACCTCAGAGAATTGAGGAGGACGAAACCCTAGCAAGCTCATTGAATGCAATCACTCTACTCTATTCACCCAATGAGCTATCACTGTGAGCAGGAGCAGAAAAATGCACAAACCCGCGCCAGTTTTTCTTCGCGCCAAAAACCTAAAGGGGGACTTTTGCATTGGGCCTCGGCCTTTACACATAAATTGGGCCAAGTTATGAGTTAGCGCGCTAGCTTTACGGCCCAATAAGCCCAGTTTACACTTTCTTTTTCTTTTTAATTTTACTTTCAGACTTTTTTCGAGGATGTTTTTTAAAATATTTTCTCTTAAAAAAAATAAAGATGAAGTACGAAATGGACCAACTTTGGAAGTTTATTACCAATTTCGTTGTCTTCAACTAAAGCAGAAGGAAGTGAAGAAAATGCTTGGAAAGATGTGGGTGAAAAAAAAAACGCAAACTTTACTGGCAAAAATGTGAACAAGAAAATGAAAGGGGTATGCCAGAAGAAAGGAGACAGAAAGCAATATGATAATATTAGTATATGGAATTTGAAGTTGTATTTGGGTATAAATTTTATTGGGAAAAATTGAAGTTTGCAAATGAAAATTATTATTTCATTTGAATTACTCTTCAAAAGACCACAATTTATATCGTAAGTTTAAAATTTAAAAGTAACCTAGATGGAAGGTAATTCTTTTACCACCAAGGAGGATGGTGAAATATTAATATTGCTCCATTTTTAATAACAGTTTTGGATTCGTAAAAATTTTAAACGTCAGTTTTTACTATGCAAAAAATGGTTAAACAAAAAGAGAAAAAAACTATCAGCTAAATGCCTAAAATACATCAAATTGGTGATGTATGGGATCTTCTTTATCACGCTCCCAAACTTGTTTTACATAAGTGCCAAATGACTTGTCGGTTACAAGATTTTTCACGAAATAATCGTTCATCTAACCGCTTAAGCTAAATATAACTGATGAATATATAATTTATGTGTAGCTTGTATATAATTATATTTAATTAATATATAATTTATGTATGCTTACTCGCAAAAATAAACCGTGAATGCAACTTGTTATTTAGGTAAAGATCCCAAATTTCATTTGGGTGCTAGTGCTACATATTACATAAAGAATATATATATTCCGTTTCAAAGAATTTGGTTTCTATTGTATCCGACAGCAACAACTCAACCTCCACATCTCCGTTTTCACACACTTTACTTCTCCTATTTATGCCGACAGATCAAGAATTGTCATGAGATTTTATATGCTAATAGTGTATAAGATTCTGTTTTACACTATTAGGTCAATTGATGTATAATATTTAATATATTAATTTTATAACAAAATCGGTATACTAACTAAAAAAAGAGTAATAACTACTATAATAGATTAAATTATACCTTTAATGCAAAAAAAAATCTAAACTATTAGTTATATAAAAATTAAGTTGTATATTTTGTCCTACGTATCACTTGAGTGTAAGATTATACTTTTTTTATAAGTTCTTTCCTTTGAACTTTTCTCTCTTCATTATTGACGGAGCTATATATTAAACACTAAAAGCTCACCTGCACCCTAAAAAAAAAAACAAGAAGGAATTTTTTCTACGTATAAGTGTTGTTATTATGCTATTTTTGAGTCAAGAGGTCTATCGAAAATATCCTTTCTACCTTCACAAGGGGTAAGTGTATGGGTCAAAATTAGATCAGAGAAATTCGACACGAGAATACATAAGGCCGAGGCAGACAGGCCGTGGTCGGACAGTCACCAATTGGCCGTGGTCGGACAGTCACCAATTGGCCGAGGTCGGACAGTCATCAATTGTCCGAGGTCGGATAGACCGAGGTCGGACAGTCATAATTAAGGCCGAGGTCGGACACTCACCAATAATGCCGAGGTCGGGCAGTGATGAAACAACTAGTTTGCTTTGGAATACTCAAAAGGAATATTCTACCGAATTTCCTCTAAATTGTACCTTTTTTTAGGATTTTCTATGAATACCCCCTTATAAATATAAGGGGAGGACTTCCCAAAAAAGGGGCTCTCCCTCTCCCTCTCTCTAGAAAATATGTAAACATACCTCTCTGGAGGATATGTGATCTCATACCTTCATCGGATCCAAAAAGGTTCCTAAGGTTCTCATATTTGTCTATTATTCGTCTTTATTAAATGAAAAGAGATCCGTCTCACTAAAGATTGGGTGAATCTTTTCCTTTATTTACATTTTATTGCCACTTAATGTTACTTAATGCATCTTTCTTTATGCTATTAAACCTGGCCATAATCACAGCCAATATTTATACTCGGCTATGTTTTTCTATTCATATTATTCATCTCGGATCTAGAGTTAATTATCTTTAACTAGGATTTACTCTTTCATTTTCTTTGATTGATTTGTTCAAAAAGGTTCCGATATCTTTTGAGTCAAATAATTTGGCGCCATCTGTGGGGATATTCTAGTTAAAATTTTAGTTTCCTTTAGATCTAAAATTCATTTCCAACTATGGAGCGTCTTTAGGGAAGCCAAACGAATTTGATACACCAAATAGTTTTTGTATTTGGTGCTTGTGCAAATGAGATACTAAAGAGTATTATATATTAAATATTACGTTAGCCAAGGGTTTGTTGCCTGAATTTCTTGGGCATTTAGCACACAAGTATCATGAAATGCTGATAGTCCTACACATTTAAATATTGTGATATTTTTTGGTTGGGAGTGCATTCGATTTGGCTAAAAATATGGTAGATTTTGTATTTCTTGTATAAAAGAAGTGATGAACCTGATTCTGTCACAGCATACTTCTAATTTGTTGCCATCATACTTTAGACATTGTTAATTTTCGGGGTGTAAGAACGAGAAAACAAAGACACTTTTATATGACTTCTTGCATTATCAAGGAGACGACAGGATTTTTATAAAGAGAAGCAGAGGTTATATATCCTACTAATTCCAAATCTTGAATTCGCTTCGCAAAGATGAAAAGATGGTTTCTTTCTATATATAAGTGCTTATTTGTGAATGACAACCCAAATTTTACAGTACGACTACTACTGTTTTCCTAGTCCTCGGCCATTTTTGATGATGTGAAAGGACAACCCCGCAAACGTCAATGAAATAAAGCTTAACAACAACACACATTTCTATCATTTAATTAATGCTCTACACTTTTCACTTTTTTCTATTAAGTACACTCCACTACTATCCATAACAATTGATGTCTTCCTTGCAAATTTTAGTTTATTCCTTCTTTACAGTGGCCCAACATTACATTTGGCAGCTAAATTACCACGGTTGAGAGGTGTGGTTCTGCACAGTGGCGTCCTTTTCAGGCCTTCGTGTGCTTTGCCATGCCAACTTCACTTTTTTCTTTGACATTTACAAGGACTGAAACTAGCTCTCAAGTATGGAGCACGGCGAATCATCCTCCGATATGACTCACAACCCGTCGTCAACCAAGTCATAGGGACTTTCCAAATAAAAGAACAAAGGCTACGAAAATATCAGGTAGGAATTCATAAGCTACTGCCCGAGTTTGACGAGTGTCAACTCGATCAAATACCCTGAGCACAAAACATCGAAACAGACGGCCTTGCCAAATTGGTAGTGGCCATTGAAAGCATAATCGGAGAAGGTAACATGATCAAACTGAGGTAACGAATGTTTTATTTTGTTTTAACTAACTATTTCTCCAAGTGGAATAAAAGTAGGGGCAGTCATCCGAGAAACGCGTCGTATTCTCCAATGCAAGCAAAATTAAGCAAACCGGGACTCACCAAGAAATGCAGAAGCTAAGCAAACTGGGACTCCACCAGGGAACACCCCTACGGCCAAGGGCCATCGCCAAAAAAGAAGAGTTCGACCTCAATCGAACGGCGAAGGGTTAATATTTCGATAAGTTCGAAATAACACCCTTTAAGGCCAAGGGCCTTCGCCAAAAAGAAGAGTTCGATCTTGATCGAACGACAACCGGTTAACATTTCGATAAGTTCGAAATAACACCCTTTAAGGCCAAGGGCCTTCGCCAAAAAGAAGAGTTCGATCTTGATCGAACGACAACCGGTTAACATTTCGATAAGTTCGAAATAACACCCTTTAAGGACAAGGGCCTTCGCCAAAGAAGAAGAGTTCGCCCTTGATCGAACGATGACGGGACCTCGATCGAACGACGATGTGTTAACATTTCGATAAGTTCGAAATAACTCCCTAAGGCCAAGGGCCTTCGCTAAAGAAAAAGAGTTCGACCTTGATTGAACGACGACGGGTTAAAATTTTGATAAGTTTGAAATAACACCCTTTAAGGCCAAGGGCCTTCGCCAAATAAGAAGAGTTCGACCTTGATCGAACGAAGACGGGTTAACATTTCGATAAGTTTGAAATAACACCCTTTAAGGCCAAGGTCCTCCGCCAAGAAGAAGAGTTTGACCTCGATCGAACGACGACGGGTTAACATTTCGATAAGTTTGAAATAACACCCTTTAAGTCCAAGGACCTTCGCCAAGAAGAAGAGTTCGACCTCGATCGAACGACGATGGGTTAATATTTCGACAAGTTCAAAATAACACCCTTTAAGGCCAAGGGCCTTCGCCAAAGAGAAGGGTTCGACCTTAATTGAATGACGACGGGTTAATATATCGATAAGTTCGAAATAACACCCTTTAAGGCCAAAGGCCTTCGCTAAAAAGAAGAGTTCGACCTTGATCGAACGATGACGGGTCAATATTTCGACAAGATCGAAATAATACGCTCTAAGGCCATGGGCCTTCGCCAAAGAGAATTCGAAATGTACCTAAGGCCAAGTGCCGTCTGAAAATATAAAGGGAAAGAAAGACTGGGACTCGCCATGCGGGAATCTACCTCGCACCAAAGTCGCGAAAAGCAAAAACATAGAAAAATACAAGGCGAATAACAACGAAAAATTCTTCTTTATACAAAGTCACCGCGCAAATAGTCACAAATTACATACGACCTGGATCAATAGTAAAAAAAGACAGCTATCTTTTCACTCGGCGTCACCATCGCCACTCTCTTCACCACAATCTCCAAGAAATTCTCTTTGGCATCGGCACCCTCAAACGCAATCCATACTAGTCGACTTCCCCATCCGAATTTCTCGAACTATGA